TATGAAATATATATATATATATATATATATATATATATATATGTGTGTGTGTGTGTGTGTTTTTGTGTGTGTGTGTGTGTGTGTTTCCACGCTCCTCCGGGTTTTTGAACAGAAGTAAATGTTTATCTGTTGTTTCCTGTTTAGGATTGTGTATATATATATATATATATATATATATATATATATATATATTTATCGACTAAATAATCAACGGAAATCCAAATAATTATTTGCTGAATATTGGCCACGTCGATGTGCGCAGTTAGCTTGAAAGCGGGTTCCATCTGCGCAGATGTATATGTAAACGAACAACCATTTACAGAGAAGTGTTCGGATTAGTGGGTTGTTTTCTATAAGCGGATATTAAATTTGGAATGGTATTCTGGGTGCTGTGCAATCTATTCCATAAAAAGAAATACCACAGCTCATAAAATCGATGTATCTAACGTACATTTCACATTACTATTGTCTTCATAACATTGTCAACATTAAAATGATGCTTTTCACAATGGTTTGTTTAAACATTTTGTCTTTGCGCGTATTCTGTAATTATAGATTTTTATTGCAATGTGTTTTTTCTTGGTATTTCAGCAACCTGGCTTATAAATCCTGGTAAAATTCATACAACCGTTGCCAGATTATCAATAAACATATTAAATATCGTCTACATTCTTGCGTAAAAGCTTTCAAGAATTCCTTTGTGCTGCATCGTTTTAGGACATAGACGATCATAATTCTCCATAGCTTTCTATTGCTCTTTTCTCTCTTTGCTCTGTCTCTTACGCACTGTTTAACCCCCCCATTCGTCAAAGAAGCTGCGTGTTGAATTCTCCTGTCTTTCTTACCCTCACGCTGACCCGTGAGTCTTACGTTTTCTAAGCCTTCCTCCCTCTTTATGTGCCCGGGAAATTTCAGCTCTCTTTTCCTGGTTCCAAGCGTTCTTTCTGTTGCCATTTTCTTTAAGACATCCTTGTTTCTTAGTCAATGGAATTCTCAGTATCCTTCTGTAGAACCACATTTCTGCTGACTCTGGTTTTCTCCTCATCCGTGGAGAGATTGTTCCTCTTTCTCTGCCATATAAGAGGATGGACATCACATAGCAATCCATCACTTTTTTCTTTATTTCTAATGTGATTTTTCCCCGTTTCAGTTGTAAATAAGTAATGAACTTATCTTTCCATACATACTTCTTTTTCTATGTGCCGTCTCTAATAAATTATTGCGCTGCTAGATGTCTGTAGATTGGTTTGGCTTGGTTTGTTTTACGGCATATCAACCTCACGGCATATCAACCTCACGGCATATCAACCGTTGCCAGATTATCAATGAACATATTAAATATGGTAAATGGCGACATCATTAAAGCGGTTAATAATACACTCTACCTCTCTCTCTCTTTCTCTCACAGGAATATTTGAGAAAAAGTGAGAAATTCACCTCATTAGCATCATTTTTTTTTTCGCATAGGCCATCAGGACTCTCCACATTTTCCTATCCCTTGTGGCCCGTAGCAGTTTTTCTCCATTTGCTAAGGCTCTCGTCCCACGTCCCAGCATCCATTCACTCAAGCTCACCATGTAATTGGCTCGCAGATTTCACCATATCTCTTGCCCTCAGTACGCCCCGTGAGGACGAAATTTTCCCAGTCGTCCTTCTTCATTATGTGTCTAAATAAAATCCAGCTGTATTTTCCTGGTTCTGTGTAGGAGTGTTCTTTTCTTGACTTGTTTCTTACTCGCTCCGTTCATAGAATTCTCAGTATCCTTCTGTAGAACCACCTTTCTGATGCCTCTAATCATCTCCTCATCCGTGCAGAGAAAGTCCATATAAGATTATGGATGGCACATAGCAATCAAGCATTCTTTTCTTTGGTTCTCATGATTTTTTTCCGTTTCGCGGCACTTTGCTTAGCATTTGGAATGCTTCTTTTGTTAGTCCAATGAGTCTTTGGATCTCGGTGCCACACTTCCCATCCTCTGTTAAAACCCTAACCCAGATATTTACAATTCTGCATCTTCTTGATGATGGAATCTCCAGTTTCTAACTCGCATTTTCTCTTTCTGATGACCATAGTTTCCGTCTCCTTGCAGTTGATGATTAGTCCTTTTTTCTCGCTTTCTTCCAATTCACTGTCGTTGAATAAAGATGAGGACAACAGCCCGAACAATGTAAATAGTGTAAATAGTTACAATACCTCATCTCAGAAATAGAGACAGATGTTGAAGGTGAAAATGGCAATAAAGATGAGGACAACAGTCCGAACAATGGAAATAGTGTAAATAGTTATAACACCTCATCTCAAAAATAGAGACAGATGTTGAAGGTGAAAATGGCAATAAAGATGAGGACAACAGCCCGAACAATGTAAATAGTGTAAATAGTTAGAATACCTCATCTCAAAAATAGAGACAGGTGTTGAAGGTGAATATGGCAATAAAGATGAGGACAACAGTCCGAACAATGTAAATAATGTAAATAGTTACAATACATCAAATCACAAATAGAGATTGAAACGTTAAACTATCGTGACATTTTTTTAAAACCAAAATTGCTGAAACTGCTTTTAAAGATTTCTTTACTTCCAAACTTTTAGAATTTTATTTTAAAGGTATAAATAACCTCGTTACGCGATTGTGGAATATATATATATATATATATATATATATATATATATATATATATATATATATATATGCATTCAGAGTTCCTACTTAGACTGATTTAAACACTGTTTAAATTCACTAATTCAAGAATAAAGTTGATTCTAAAATAGGCCATTATTTTCCGAAAAACCTAATAATTCTAGTTATTTCCGTGTCACCAAGCAGTGATGTCGCCATTTGCCATTAAAATCAAACATCAATTCATGGCTTTTGGCACGTGTGTGTATTCTAAGTTTATCTTCTTTACTCATTTAAAATATCGCTTGAACTGATTTTGATTGATTTTCAATTACTCTTTTGTACTTCCATGTATCTATATTTTTTATTTCTTTGATTTGAGAAAAAGTGAGAAATTCACCTCATTAACATCATTTTTTTTCTAACTCCCCACCCCAACGAAAAAAAGAAATGAAAAATTTAAAAGGCATCAAGAGAAATTTGTTTTCTCTTCATTTAAAAGCATTCGTACTTTAAAAGTATTGATTATTCCTTTGGAATTTTCAATGGTTTCTCTGACAAAGTTTTCTTCCCCTATGTGCCGTGTACCTTCAGGACGTGGGTGATCATGGCTCACCACAATGTCCTATGATAGGACAGTATAAATTAAAAAAAAGAATAGATATTTTGATAGAGGTATAATGCTGGTTTTCGGTGACGAAAGTGAATTTGGCATATCGGTTTCAAATTTCGGACGTGGTAGTTGCGTTCACTTTCATAAAAAAAACCCATTTTAAAAAGTATTCATCCACCTTTTCTCCCCTCAGAAGTTAATAGTAAGGGTGACTGGGGTCTGTAACTTTGTTTGGCGACCAATCTAGGGAAAGGGAAATTCTGAATTCAAATAACAGCCTAAAGCTGGATGGATCTCGTAAGGTTATCCCAACGACGGTAATGGGTTATGTAAGGACAACTCTGAATTCGACATTAGAAACACCACTCCCTAAAAACCTACTTATTACGAAAACCATAATATAACATATAACACCTGCGCTGGTGAGGTTGCGACCCTATACTCTACAGATACCGTCCTGTGTAAGACGATAAACTACATCCGCGTCCTGGGTAAGACGATAAACTACGTCCAACAGCAAGGCCTCTGATCAGGAGGTTTTGAGGAGCGTGGAACCACCTCTTAATTGCTGATGTTCCCTGGTCCACTCTGACCTGTTAGGGTCCCAGCTATGTGTAAATAGTTAAATCCCAAACTGGGGTCAAAACACTATGAAAGTGTAAAAATAGGTTTTAATATCAGAAATACTTTGTAAAAAATTATTACCAGTAATACATTAAAAAAATTACCAGATATACATTTAAAAAAATATTACCAGAAATAGATTTTTGAAAAAAAAATATTGCCACCAATAAAAAAAATTGTTGGCACTAAATAACCCATTGAGGTTGATATGCCGTAAAACAAACCAAGCCAAACCAATCTACAGACATCTAGCAGCGCAATAATTTATTTCCGTAAATAAATATACCCTGATACACGAGTATAAAACAATACTTTTACTAAATGTTCACCTAATTCAAGGAACAAGAGCCACCCAATATAGAATGTTACTGAATAAGGATATTGCATGGACACTTGAAGAAAAGTACGTACACATTATAAGGATATGATAACGGTTGACCCTAGACATGAAGGAGGACGCACCCTCTAGGGTGTATGTTCCACAAAGTAGATATTATTGCGAAGAAGCTGTCCGAGTGGAACTTCCTTCTGAAAAAATGGAACACGAAGGCTATGAGAATGATTAGACCGTGTGGACGTGGCATGTTGCTCTGAACTGGTTGAACTCGAGAATGTAACTCGTCTGAACATTTGCCATGGAAATAGCGATAAGGCAGTGATAGGTTTGTAATGTTTCGTCCGAAGGAAAGGGGTTGTACAGTGGAAAAATAATTAATCATCAGCTACGCTGTGTAGACGCCTTTGAACTCTGGAGAGTAAGGATTGAGCAGCTCCTGTCCAGATATGGTAGCAATATTGTATTTTTTGTATGATCTGATATTTAGTGGATAATTTAATAAGTAGATTGTATCTTCCGTTTATCAATTTATTTTTAAAAGACTTCATTGGAAACGATCTACACATGTTAATGAAATGGTTGAGTTTTTATCACATGACTGAAAGCGAATCTGTTTGTTGTTTGCGAAATTTCTTTTTTTCGACAGCTGTAAATCGATTCTGAAGAGAATTGCTTTTATCTATTCATTTTTTTTTTTTTGGATAATGATGGCGTTTTAACTATCCTTCGTAAAACTATGGTACTGTGAAGTGATGGGAAGTTTACTAAATTTCTCTTTTTCATTCTTTTCTTTTTTTTCTCTCTCATGTTGCACATCGTTTTTTTTTTTTTCCTTTTGTTCTTCCTCTCTTTTTTCTTCATCTTTTTTCTCTTTTTTTTTCTGTTTCTCCTCATTTTTTTTACTTGCTTTTCGTTTTCTTTTCTGTCTTCTTTTTCGTCTATTTCTTCTTATTTTGTCGCCCACTTAGTTTATTACCTGGTAATCCTCATCAGCATAATCTTCCTTTTTCTTTCTTTCCTTTTCTCTTTCTTTCTTTCTTTCTTTCTTTCTTTCTTTTCATCGTACCCTTTTCTATTTCTCCTTATTGTATTTTTGTCTTCTTATTTTGGCTCATACGTTTTTTTTGTTGTTGTTAGATGGTATCATTCTTCCTTTTTTTGTCTTTTTTTATTCTGCCTTTTTTCCAATGTCTTCTTTTCCCCTTATCTTTTTTTTTTATTTCGCATCCCTCTTTGCTTGTTAACTGGATCTCAACTCCCACTTTCTTTCTTTCTTTCTTTCTTTCTTTCTTTCTTTCTTTTTTCTTTCTTTCTTTCTTTCTTTCTTTCTTTCTGCTTGCTTTTCGTTTTCTCTCTACTTTTGTTTCCTTTTCTTCTTATTTTGTCGCCCTCTTTGTTTGACAAATGGTACTCCTCATCGGCATAATCCTTCTGTTTCTTTCTTTCTTTCTTTCTTTCTTTCTTTCTTTCTTTCTTTCTTTCTTTCTTTCTTTCAAACGTTTTCAATTTCTCTTATTTTTCTTTTTATATCATTTTCTTATTTTGCCTTTCTCTTTGCTCTCTCTCTCTCTCTCTCTCTCTCTCTGTCTAGCTATCTATTCTGACGAGTGAATAGGCGATTACTGGAGCCACCGTCTACAAAACTCTATAGTCGACATGCTGAAAATAACATCAATCAGCTGAGTGACAAATTTTATATTTGTATTAATCTTATATATATATATATATATATATATATATATATATATATATATATGTCGCCTTTGGAGTGTTGACTTCAATGTTCACTTTTATATTTATATTTACATACGATCTATCTCTGATATTGTACACTTTATCCCATAAATATAGCACACCTTAAAACTATATTTCTTCATATATATATATATATATATATATATATATATATATATATATATATATATATATATATATATATCGTTATGTATAAGATCCTTATATTGATATAGATAGATAGTTATTTTTTTCATTTTTACTTTTGTTTACGGCCAATTCACGTTGAAATACTCGTTCCCGTACGATCGCCAAAGTTAAGCAATGTCGAGGCAAATCAGTCTAGATAGGTAACCTCTTGGTAATACCAATTGCTGTAGACTTGGATGTGCAGCTGGTGTAATGTTAATGGCTTGGAATTGTTAATCGGAGAACCGAGTTACAATTCTCATGGGGTTCGTTATATTCACTTACGCGGAAATACACTTAGAAAAGATATGAAGCCAGCACTAATCCATTATTATCCAACTCCCTCCCCCACCCAAAATCTTACAATCTAAAGCAATTTACCTTCTTTAAATAATCTCTCTTGGGTTGAGAAGCCGCAGAAAACAAATCAATCATTTTTTTTTTTAATTCTACAAGTTTCCCGGTAAGTATGTTCGTCAAATATGGCAGACAAGAAAAATTTAATTAATTTTTTATTTGTTTTTTCCCAGCGTTCTGACATTTTTCCCGCTTTGTGGGAGTAAAGGAGCAAAAATTTTCCATATTGTCGGTTGTGCTAAGCGCTTTTTCTTTTTTTTATCTTCCTTATCTCACCATATATATATATATATATATATATATATATATATATATATATATAAATATATATATATATATATATATATATATATATATATATATATATATATATATATATATATATATATATATATATATATATATATGGGTGTTTTATCGTTCCCAAAATTGACAACAATAATAAAATATTTAGAAGTTTTTACTTCCGCAAAAGAATAATGCCTGGAAATTAATGTTACAACAGTTGCTTCATCGCTAATGACTGCAAAACCTCGAAGGCTTTTTATTATTCATTTTAAAATCACTTCCTGCCTCCATTCAAAACGTGTCAAGAAATAGCGTAAAGAATTTTTTGCTTAAAAAATGTTTCTCTCTTTCCTTGTGCCATTATCATTCTGGCCTGTGGCTTTCATCATCCTCGACCTTAAATCATGTCCTTTAAAGATGTTTCTATTTTGTTCTGAATATGTATAATTCCTGAAGGCCCGAGGATTACACAGTATGGCTACGACACGTTTTTTGTTTACCGAAATGGCGACAAAAATTTAATGTAATTTTGCCATTCTTCAATTTTGCCAGACCAAAAACTCTTTGAATAGCTTCCACTGAATGTTGCTCTCGTATTTACTAAAATACATGTAGTACTAAATATATTGACACTATTATATCTAAATGTGCCGCGATTTTTAATAAAGCCAGGAATAAAAAAAAAAAAAGTAAAAAGTTCTTTATCGATGCATATCGCTTTGCTGTGAAAAGTGCGTGGAGCAACTAACTGTTGTTTTCCATGCTTTAAAAGCAGGCGTACAAAAATAAAAACCGACTACATGATTATTTGAGGTAAATTGCTTAAAGAAGTTGTAAAGAGTAATAAAACGGAAGAAGAAGAAGAAGAAGAAGAAGAAGAAGAAGAAGAAGAAGAAGAAAAGAAGAGGAAGAAAGAACAAGAAGAAGTAGAGGAAGAAGAAAATGATAATAATGAAGAAGATCATTGCAAAAGTGCACAGAAAAAATTATTTAGATTATCTCCACAAATCAACATGCTGGCTATTGTATTCATACATCAAGCACTATCTTATTAGCAGCAGCATTCAATGTACTTTTATATTTATATATATATATATATATATATATATATATATATATATATATATATATATATATATATATATATATATATATATATATATATATATATATATATATATATATATATATATATATATATAGAGAGAGAGAGAGAGACTTACATATATATGCTAATATATATAGAGACTTATATATATATATATAGAGAGAGAGAGACTTATATATATATATATATATTAGTCTTAGTGGCTTCGTTATATATATATATATATATATATATTTATATATATATATATTTTAAAGATGTTTTATTATGTTTAACGTTGTTATTTTGCAAATATTTAAGCAATATGGTTTTATCAGTAAACATTTACCGAATGTCGAGAAATTTTCATAGAACGAATATTTTGTAAATATTTGTATCTATAAAATAACAACGTTAAACATAATAAAATGTCTTTAATAAATAAATTGTCGGACCTTGTCCATTTCTTAATATATATATATATATATATATATATATATATATATATATATATATATATATATATACAATGGGAAATAAATATATAAAGAGAAAGAGACAGATATAATGATATAAGTATATATATATATATCTCAATACAGATAAGTATATAAATATACACAAAACACATATATATATATATATATATATATATATATATATATATATATATATATATATATATATATATATATATATATATATATATGTATGTATGATATAGATAGATAGGGCCTGATAAATATATAAATATATATTGATATATAGACAAAGATAAATAAATATATATATTTAGAGTGACAGAGATAAAATGTATAAATATAAAACGCTCATATGCACACACACACACACACACACACACACACACACACACACACACACACATACACATATATATATATATATATATATTCTTTCAAATGATTTTTCATTATCCCATGTACTTTCAATCTCATCTGAGAGCATCTCCAGGTGGTCAGTATATATATATATATATATATATATATATATATATATATATATATATAGATAGATAGATAGATAGATAGATAGATAGAGACCAATATATATATATAGTCGGAGGATGCATATTTTCTATAAAAAATTCTCGGATATTCAGGCCGTTAAATGTCGTCAATACTGTTTATTATAAACGGAGCATTTACTTAAATATTTTTATCTATAAAAAGAACGCATAAACACTTAAATGTCTTAATATATATGTATAATCTTCTTCAAACCGGGCGATACGTGAGTCTATCTACTTCGTTACAAATATAGAGTTCTAGCAGATTTTAAAAGGAGCCGGAAACCCAATCCTAAACAGAAAAGATGGCATAAACCTCTATGTTTGTTCAAATAAGGAAGTGTGCGAACAGTGTGATAGGTGAACTTAACTACATCTAATGAGAAAATAGCAATATTAGATCAAATTTCAATGTTTAGGCGGAGACGTTAGGAGTATAGAGTTAAGGTAAACTTTAGAATGAACCGGAAACCCCATCCTAAACAGGTAACAAGGGATCACTAATCCTGTTCAAAAGACCAGGAAGGTGTGTGAACCGGGCAATAGTTGAACCTATCTAGACCTATTGAGAACAAATAATAGTAAATAAAATCTCAAAGTTTAACCGGAGACATTAGAGTCGAAGTAGATGTTAGAATGAGCCAGAAACACAATCCTAACCAGAAAAGAATGGACAAACCTCTACTCCTGTTCAAAATGAGTGTGGATTGTTTTCCCATTGCTTTTTCACGGTTTGGAATTCAGACTTACTTTTCTCTTTCCAGCCTACTTTACATCCAATGTTAGAGATTCATGTCCATCCGGCTATTTAACACCTGTCTTTTGGAAGACGGCATAACTTGCCGCCTTTCCCAAAGAGCTATCGTTCGAATGTGAACCCGATAGACGAGACCGCAGTTTGAACTCGGCTCGCTAGACTACCTTCACATCCTAATCACGTTTCCTAATAACATGTCAGAAAATACCTATTTATTTTACGCCATCAACCAGCAAATTAAATCGGCTCCCATCCGTACATTTGATCATTTTTCTTGGTCCATTGCGATGCAAAAGTTCTTTCCGCAAAATGACAGACCGCTGTCTGTGCTGCTGGGTGTCACAAGCAATTTTAGGAAGGGCAACTGATCCGCGCTGGGGCGACAAAAACCAACATCGAGCAAATTTCATATAATCTCTCTCATTGTAATCGACAGTTAATTATTTCTTCAGAACAATTTCAACTTTGTCGGCTAGACGGGATTGCGCATTCACTCTTATGAAACGAACGTGTTGCAAAGTAACAACAGGTCAGGAGTAGTGCTCAGCCATTGCTTGCAAAGCAATTAATATTTCAATCTAAGTTGAAATGCAACTGGTCGAACAAGTGTCCACCAAATTCTAACACTTACGTCCAAAATGCAGTGAGATAATATTAAATTTTAACGTTCAGCTGTGTACTAAAAACTTCAATAAAGAACATAATAAACGACCTGTTATGGCAGAACAAATTTTGAGTGCCTACTAAAACGTAACTGCCTACACACCGATACCATATACTAAGGAATTGTATGACCGAAAAGATACTCAGAAATATATATATTCTGGACGCTCTCCTTGTATTAGTTGGTGAATGCTGCCATAATCCTTGCCTTCAGTCCTTTGGTGTTACTAGGAGTTTTGTTGGTCTCTCGTTCTCACATATAATAATCAAGGTGTTGCAGTCTTGGGAGTAAGGCGGCCAGATGCCAGGGATGATATGATCGCA